ATTACAAAAAGATGTTACAAAATTGCAAAATGACATTCAAGCGGAACTTGGTAAATATAAAGAATACATTATGAAGAAATTTAAAGACATCGAGAAGAAGTATAGTGCTCTGGAAGAACGTATGCATATAGTAGAGAACCAGATGACCCTTTCATATGGAAAACTTATCGTCGCATCACATCATGGATCCTCTTTAAATAACCCATAAATAATGCAGACTATCTTAGTGCTAATCGATTAGTAGAGATATGAAGACGCATTCAAAGGAAAAGATTCAACTTGTTAATGAATTACATAAGCCTATGAGAAAAAACTATGCTCGCAGACGTACGATTATCAAGGGACTTGATGACTTGTGGCAAATGGACTTGGCAGATATGCGCCAGTATGCACACTATAACAAAAATTTTAAAATGATTATGGTTGTCATAGACTGCTTCTCAAAGTTCATGTGGACTAGACCTTTAAAAACAAAGACTGGCGAAGAGATAACGACTGCCTTTAACGACATTTTAGCTTGCGGTAGAATCTGTGTAAATCTACAAACAGATCAAGGTACGGAATTCTTCAACCAGAAATTCCAACACTTTCTCAAGAAGCATGAAATTAATCATTACAATACGTATAGCGTGAAGAAAGCGGCCATTGCTGAACGTGCGATAAGAACTTTGAAATCAAAGCTGTACAAGTACTTTAGCCTAAACGGTACATATAAATGGATAGACGTTTTACCAGAAATTACGAAATCCTACAACGAAACCCGACATCGCACCACGGGATACAAGCCGTCTCAAGTAAATAAGTCCAACGAAGAAAGAATTTTAAAGTCTGCCTACAATCATATTAAGATGAGCGGACCGCAAAAATTCAAAGTGGGTGACGTCGTGCGCATCAGCAAAAATAAACACGTCTTTGATAAGGGTTACACGCCTAATTGGACGACTGAACTATTTAAAATTACGTCGGTTAAAATAACGAATCCAGCGACATACCTCTTGGAAGATATGCAGGGAAATCCTATAAGAGGTGCCTTCTATACTGAGGAGCTACAGAAAACCGCCAGCCCCGACATCTATCTCGTAGAAAAGGTACTAAGGAGAAAAGGAGGGAAAGTTTTCGTGAAGTGGTTGGGGCTTGATAAGAAACATAACAGCTGGATCGAGAACACCAACGTAATTTTAAATAGTTCATCGAGCGAGCAGGTTGTGTGTAAAAATGAGTGAAGTTTCCGCTAATTTAAGTGATGAGGAAAATTACGATTATAGTAAGGACCTAGATGATATTCTGGCTAAATATGAAGAAGCTGCACGGTGGGAATATATTTACTTGCTTTGTAATGTTTTTCCACTAATATCCAACGTCAACATTCAAGTACAGTGTGGATTGAGCCCAGCTAGATCCTTCAGATCCGCAATAATTATAAAAAATGGTAATGGTAATAAATTATCATTTTCTACCTATGAATGGCAAACTCTCTTGGAGCTACTGGAACGTCTGAAAAAACATTTCTTCCAAACACCCCTGCAAGGTTGGTCTGATGAGTAAACCTGTGACTCATCCCTGTGGAGATTACGCGACAGTTACCCAAGTGATCTACGAAAATGTGAAAATGCTACAGATCATCAAATACGACATGCGCATTGATCTTTTCCTTCATGATGTGGAAGAGCTGTTAAAATTAGATGCTTGTGTACTGTCATATAGAATAACTATGCTAGATTCCTTAGATTTTTGTATGTACTACTTTAATGTTTTAGATATGTTTCCTGTTTTCAGTTTTATCATATAGGTTTAAAACAAATAAGACACATATATAAAATAAAAAGTTTATTTATAATGTATTAAATATATATTATGTAAATTTGAGTTTATGGTTCTCTGTTTGCGATATAATTCAGTTTTACCATCTACCAAGATACTGTACATTTGGAACGGAGTCCTACAAAATGGGTCATTATAGAACCATTATTTTCATCTTTCATTAAACCAGGCACTTTTTTGTTAACTAACGGTAAATTATATTTATTATTAGGATCGTAATCTGAAGTATCAAATTTTTCTAAATTTTGCTTCAAAAGATCGTAAACGTTATCACAAGTTATTTCATAAATTAAGCTATCAGTATCGGTATATAGCAATTTACAATCGTCACCTAATTTTTCCAACATGAAATTGTAGTGGAAGTCGTACACACAAGTTTTTGAAATGTCTAGTATACACATGCCAACATACAAGGGCTTATTAAAGCAAATTTCCGATTTGCTAAGTTCAATAGCCACTAGGTCTGGGCCGAAAATTTTGCTGCTATGAAAATTTGGACTAGCGATATAGTGTTTGGCGCCCCAGTGACCATCCCAATGATTTTTTAACTTGATGTTGCGATGCTTGCGGATATTCTCCATAGTCTTACCAAAAATAGCATTTATTAACAGTTTATACAAGTTCTTCTCAAAATCATTGGTTGATTGGGCGCGAAGTTTAGTGTTTAACTCGATGTAGGCCCTCAGCCAGTCGGCCTGCTTAAATTTCAATACACGGTGAATTTTGACTAATTTAACTCCCAAGTTGAGGGCCTGTTTTAAATTTCTATAGTGAATTATATAACGCGTTTTTGAATGTAAGGTTGTCATAAGTTTCGGTAATTTTGATCCCGGGGGCGTGAGGTGCTCAGGACATAGAGGCAAATCTTTGTGGTAGTCGTGAAGATGTTCAGGGTATTCCAAATCTACTTCGAGGACGTACCCTTCAGGAGAAGTATCAGATACGCTGGTGACGTCGATATTTGTATCAGCCCACTCGAACCCACCATATGGCAAGTACTGGGACATAGCCCAACCGTAAAGGTTATTTACGTCAAAGTACATTAAATACTTTGATTGCTTTAAGTAGTTATAAGAAGACATAAACTTATTGTTTGCTTCAGCATAGCGGTTACAGCATTGGCTAACGCCTCCTCTGATGGCCCTATCCATAAACAACAACATATCTACATCCTTTAAGTAATCTAGCGCAATTTTGGTATATTTTAACATGCAATCCCAAGTATAACCTGGCAAAGTGTAGTAATGACCTGGGTCCAGTTGATAAATATTCAAACATTTTTGCCTAAAATTTTCAAAGACATCAGCCAACAACATAATGTCAGTTTTTAAATATAAATCTGAATATTCGCCTAAAGTTGTTATATTAAATTTAGCCCATACCATTTTAGCATGTTCATAATCATCACTGGATATGTTACTATCGTTTAATTTGTTATAAAACTTATCAATGCCTGGTAGTTCTGTTTCGTTTAATTTCTCCTCACAGTCTATATAGTCATATGGAAATACTCCTTTTCTCGTTAGTAAAGTGAATGTTTCCACATCTAAACCACTGAATTCCTTATGTAAATTTTGAAGCTCGTTTGGCTTTAAATATGAAGCAAGAGTATCTAATGAGGATGCCATAAACCTAAAGGAGTCGATAAATCGAAACTTTACCGGCGAATCCGATGTTGACTTTGAAAAGGAGATGTACTTCTCCTTATTGATGGGAAGTAAAGTAATGTTTCCGGTTTTTGCTAAATCTCTAATCAAAAAATGTGAATCATATCCTGTAAGATTATGGAATACTATAGGCACAACAAAAGAATTTTTGAAATTTAAGTTGCAGCTTTCGTGTGCCGCTCCGCGATAGGTTCCAGTAAAATGACAGTGGTCTCTAACCTTTTTGGTACCTGTTTCAAAAGGTTTTTCGCAAATGTGACAGTGTGTAGCAGAAAAAAATTGAAATGATTGTTCCTGCGAAATATTCATGGGTACTACGGTTTTCAGTTTATCTTCGATAACTTTCGATATGTTTTCCAGCTCCCGAGTAAACCATTCGATACAACCGAGGCTCCTATTGCTTGCGTAAAACGATAGAGAATCATCATATGAACACTTAAAATAGAAACCTGCACTGATCGCGGTATGCTTTTGATATTTTTTGGTTGACGTATGTCGCTGCCTTTGTTGGTCTGTAAGAGGTTCTAACATGGACTCAAAATCACAATATAAAATGAAAGGTACCTTTTCTTTATACCTATAATTTTTGAAAGAAAGAGATTTCTCCTCCGGGAAGGTAATTTTACATTTATTAATTTTAGAGCAATCTTCAGTGTGACTATCTAACGCGGTTTCCGTACTAAAATAATTTAAACAAATATCACAAATATATTTGGCATGTGCTTTTTTACTTAATTGACTAACATTGACTAACAAAAATGGTATCGCTGCTACTTTCCTCCTCCTTACGTTCATCGAAATAAATATCTTGAATAATTAAAAGATTAACATGTCTCTCGAGTTTATTGTTGGTTAAACGAGCAGGTTCAACGTTATATTTATTCTTCCCGGCTAATTTTGATTGGTAAACGTTAACCGAAATCTTATTAAGTTTAGTAATCTGCGAAATTTGCATTGGAAAATCAATTCCATCTAAATTCAGAACAGTTGAAGGATGTGGATATGATGATGTTCAATCTGCGTGTTTTAGTCTATCAACTGGATAAAGTGCTGAAACAATAGACCAAGCGAAGCAGGCGTCATCGTCATAATTTTTAACGTTAACACAAGCGTGCTTTTTAGCAATTACCTCGGGGAGCCTGATAAAGGAAGAGACCCCGTGACCCATTACAAATTTGTTAATGTTAATTTCTAAACTGATAATTTTACGTAACGCCCAACCGCTATCTTTTTCCTGGAACTCTTCTACTTTATTTAAAATTTTATCCGTAACGTTTTCAAAAAACCAAACTTTTAGATCTGTACCCAANGAGCGCCAGAAGAAAGGGCCCTAGCCGGCGGGGCCCAGCCAGGACAGGAGGAGGCCCCCTGAACCGATCGAATCCGGCCGCGTTGGCGGCCCGGAATGACGGGGAAAGGGCCTACCTCTACGAGGCGTCCGGGCCTACAGCGATGAAGTGGGTAAAGAGCGATAATCCCGCTCGACCCTGCTCCATCTGAGGTCATTTTTCCTGCCAAGGATATTGGCGCGAGTCGAAGCCGAATCCGGTTTTGTTTAGTTTCGCGTTCATTCTTTTTGTCTTTTTTATTTGCTTCTAGTTGACGAAGTAGCGACTCGTTCAACTAGTTAGTTCTTTAAATCATTACATTTTCAACATTTAAACTTAAACCTAAAACTCATCTATAATTATTATACAAATCTACGACAAATCTACAAACCTACAATTAAGTGCAACTTTAATCAACATTCTACGTACATTTCAACAAACAGATATATTCTATACATCAATTACGATATCAAGCATCTTTACAAAACTACAAATCAACTAGTCTTCGTTAAATTCATTCACGACATTACAACGTACAACATACGACCATTCTACGAAAGTGCTACGTCACGCTCTCATGTAAATAGCGTCCTTCTTCTGTCTCCGAAATTTGAGAATCAGTGTGATAAAGCCATAAACACAGTGTTTCATTCCTACAAGATAAGCCGACACAAGGTAAGTGGCTTTACTTGTCAGTTTTACTCGTCAGTTTTTCTTGTCAGTTTTCTTGTATAACTTTACCGTATTTTCATATTTTGTGTCCTACAAATCTCTACTTTCGTTCTAAGCACACATTATTTTGATATCCAAGATATCATGGCGCCCTGGCATTTATAAACATTCACTGACGTTCATAAACAATCATAAACATTCTAATTATTACATTTATAACAAATTTCATTAACCTTTTTTTTACATTTTACATTGATATTTTGAATTTCACCCAACTTTAACGTTAACTTGCATTTATCAACTTAAATCTACTTTTTGACAAAGAATAGCTAGAATATACGTATTTAATCATTTTGCTTTATTTAAAATAAAATCCGAGATAGAGTTTCAAGCTAGCCAAGGCAAACAAAAAAACCCATTCTTAACAGTATTGATATGTTGGCTGGTATACAGATTTTGAATACAAGTAAACATTTTCAAATCTTAAACCGTTTGGGTGTTCCAATAAACTTATTATCGTATCAGTTTTTCCGCAATTCGAAGGGCCAACAAATATTCCTCGTTTAGAGGAACCTCCGAAAAGTGGTCCATGTTTTCTAAAGCTAGTTCCTGATGACACTTTATCGTGGCTTGTAACTGGCAGTGAAATTCTCTGCTTTTCGATCCTCATTCTTAAAACAAATTTAAAGTACTACAAAACCAAGTATCCGTGAAACTATTTATAAGGGTAATTGAAGGTATATAAATTCATTTCTGTTGAAGCATTCTTCAGAGTATTGTAAATGTTAGTGCATAATCCGACTCCAGTTAATCGTAGACGTAAGAGCGTAAAGATAGGTTTTGGAATTGTTAACACACTTGTGAACAAACTCCCCTTTGAACTTCATTTACCTGGCTATCAGTACTGCGGCCCAGGTACCAAATTACAAAAGCGGTTGGCGCGAGGTGATACAGGACTCAACGTTCTCGATAGACACTGTCTTGATCACGATCTCCAATACTCGAGAAGTTCAAATCTAGAAGATCGTCATAAGGCTGATTACGAACTTGAACAACACGCTTGGAAAAGGGTGAAATCTAAGGACGCTAGTTTAGGTGAAAAAACCGCTGCGTGGTTTGTTACCAATACCATGAAGGCGAAAAGAAAATTGGGAATGGGATTGAAAAAGAAAATCAAACCAAAAAGTGGAGGAGCTGTTCGTACCAGAAGGGAGGATTTTTACCACTTTTACTTCCAATATTGGGTGCTTTGGGAGCTCTAGGAGGTGGAGCTGCGGGGATAGCAAAAGCTGTAAACGACGCTAAAGCGAATAAACAACAATTAGCTGAACTGCAAAGACATAATCTAGCCATGGAGCAGGCTGGTAAAGGTTTATATTTGCGTCCGTACAAGAAGGGAAAAGGATTGTATTTCGATCCGTATAAAAAAAAACTCCCAATAAAACTACTCCGCCATGCATTAACAAATATAGATCTTGCAAAATTTGCAAAGAAATTGCGACTTCCCAATTTCCGAGGTGTGTTTATGAAAGATAATTTACCGGAGAAAATAAGAAAAAACTAATGCGGTATTATTAATTTGGATATTCTGTCCGGACCCGGTACTCACTGGACAGCATACGTGAAAAGAAACAATATTATTATATACTTCGACAGCTACGGGAACGAGACCTCTAATTGCATTGACAAAATATTTCTTCAGCGACGGTAGTTTCAACAGTAAAATATAATCACGATAAATTTCAGCACGATAACACTTATATATGCGGTCATCTATGCCTAAAATTATTATATAATATGTGTAATCGATAAAAATACTTTATTTTAAATATAGTTTCGAGTTCAACAACATGTCTTTAACTTTTTCTCTATCGGGAAATTCCTCAATATTAAGTGCAGACTTTAATCCATCGATATACTTGGACGACGATTCAGAGTACGTTATTGGATTAGCCAATTTTGAAATATTCAATGTCGTTCCAAACATTGACGAAACAAACAACAAATTTATGTATGGTAACACCACGTTAACAATTCCTACTGGAGCTTATGAAATTATCGACCTTAATAATTATATTCGAATGAACATTCAAACACTCAGTCAGATAAATATAATAGCAAATCATAATACATCAACTGTAAGAATTGATTCTGATGTGGATATTGACTTTACATCGGATAACTCAATAGGTCGTTTATTAGGTTTTCACAAGAGAGTTCTTAAAGCCAATCAACAAAACAAATCTGATTTTCCCGTTCAAATAATTAAAGTTAACGCTTTATGCATAGACTGTAATATAGCTACGGGATCGTNTAAGGTTAACGCTTTATGTATAGACTGCAACATAGCGGTGGGATCCTATTCCAACGGGCAACCTGTCCATATAATCCATCAGTTCTTTCCATCTGTAGCACCAGGATATAAAATAGTGGAATCACCCCAAAATATTATTTATTTCCCAGTAACCGTCAAGACGATCAACACCATAACTGTTAAAGTACTTGATCAGGACGGAAAAATTGTTAATTTTCGTGAAGAAACCATCACAGTCAGATTACATCTTAAAAAATTGTAAAATGGTAATTCGCTACAATCATACAACAAGTGTTGTGACTAAACGTAATTATAAAAGGAAACCCAAAAACAAATTGCCAGTTAGTCCGAATAGAAACGTTAGTAAAGTAACAACTGAAAATAAGAGATTTCTAAAGTCCTTGGGTTTTGAAGTACTCGTATAATGGATATTCTAAACGTTACACAGCAACCTCTTATGGACAATTCTATTGTTGATTTAGAGTATCACAATTACCAACCTTTTGTGACTGCTAAATTTGATTATAATGACGAAATTAGAATTTCAATTCAAGAATTGGATGCGTACACGTTACCATCTGAAAGTATGCTGTATGTAGAAGGAACTTTAACTAAAGAAGATGGAACACCCCCTACCAAGTTAAAAC